TACATCTTTGGCCTTTTTTCATTTTGAGACAGGGTGTCTCTAAGTTGCCAAGGCTAGCCTTCAACTTGAGATTCACCTGCCTCAACCTTGCCAGAGTTGGGGTTATACGTGTGTGTCATCACAGCTGGCCAAGCATGTTTTTAATGCACATATACCAGATTTTCGTATAACCTAAAATGATCAAAGTAACAATATTGAGTCTACCAGTGTGACAATGGAAGAAAAAATTGGCCCAAGATATGAACTTCACCAAAGAATATATTTGGATGGGTAAATTAAAAGGTGCTCAACAGCTGATTATTAGGGAAATGAACTATTTTTTTTTTTGGTACCAGGGATCGAACTGAGGACCCTGTGCTTGCAAGGCAGGCATAGTGCCACTGAGTTAAATCCCCAGCCTGAGAAATGAACTTTAAAGCTACCAAAGGGTGCTGCTATATTTAATAAAATGACTCACAGGGCCGGGGATTTAGCTCAGTGGTTTCGCCGCCTGCTGTGCAAGCGCAAGGACCCGAGATCGATCTCCAGTACCTAAAAACAAACAAAGACTCACATGTAGAAGTCTGATCATGATACAGGTTGGAAGGAATGTAGGGGAACTGGAGCTCTCAGATGCTATTAGTGGACACGTAGGAATCTATAACCACATGGGGAAAATCTGGCAGTTTCTTCAAAAGCAAAGCATGCGCCTACCCAATGATGCAGCCATCCCAGCCCAAGATCGTCACCAAGCGGGACGAAAGCACATGTCCATACAGACTTGTTTGTGAACAGCCAGGGCTGCTTCCCTGTCTCAGCTAAGCGCTGGAATCCACTGGAACGCCCACCATGTGAATGCATAAGGAAACAGTGGTTTACCCTGGAGAAGGAGCCCTTCCCACCAGGAGGCAGGAATGACCCACTGATACAACAACACGGACAAATCTCTAAATAATCAAACTGGTTCAGAGTGGCAACAAAGATGACATGCTAGGGCTGGGGATTTAGCTCAGTGGTTTCTTCGCCTGCTGCGCAAGCACAAGGGCCCAAGTTCGATCCCCGGTACCAAAAAAAAAAAAAAAGATGACATGCTGTATGGCTCCACTTTTGTAAAATGGAAAGGCAAACCCATAGTCACAGGAAGGGGTGGTTGTTGCGTGGTGGGTATGCAGGGAAGAGAAGAGGAGGGCCCACAGAAGGGACGAGGGTGATGTTTATTATGGTGGGGCTTGGGAAGCTGTAACAAGTGTACACAGTTGGGAAAATGGATCAAAATAAGGGCAGAAGGTGTAGCTCAATGGTAGAGTGCTTGCTTAGCACTCATGGAGCCCTGGGTTGGTCTCTAGCATTGCAAAAAAAAAAAAAAAAATCATGCTGTTTCAATATGTGCAGTTTACAAGATGTATTAAAAATATTCAGTGACTCTTTAAACAAAAACTTACTGCAGTAAAAGATACATTGCCATGAATCCCCCTCAAAATCCTCCCCCTAGGGCCGGGGATTTAGCTCAGTGGTTCTGGTGCCTGCTCAAAAGCGCAAGGTCCCAAGTTTGATCCCCAGTACCAGAAAAAAAAAACACAAAAACCCTCCCCCTTGCTTCAAATACCATGTATTTCATTGTTCTTGGCACTTTCTGAAGCAGTTCTGGAAGTTTTTTTATTTTTTTTGGTACCAGGGATCACTCTCAGGACCCTGGGATTGAGAGGTAGGTGGTGGAGCCACTGAGCTAAATCCCCGGCCCTGGAAGTTCTCTTTCAAGGGTGTCTTTATGAGATGGGATCAAAAATACAGTGAATGCTGCTGCCAAACACCATCCAACAGAAAGGGTCCTAAAAACATGATGCTGCGTCCTCATCCATCTCAGTCATGGATTTGACACTGTGCACTTCCGGCTCTTCCTCAGTCAAAATGACCATGACAGGGAAATGCTTTGGATCAATTCAGGACATCAGAGCAGCCACAACAGTGCAACTAAAGACACTCAGGAAAGAGGACTCCAGAATGGCTTCAGAAAGCAGCAAGAACGAAGGGGTCAGTGTACTTAAAGGGAGGGGGATTAATGGTAATGTCTTTTACTATATTTTTTTAAAAATGAAGTATTTGGGGCTGGGGATTTAGCTCAGTGGTTTCACTGCCTGCTGCGCAAGCACAAGGACCCAAGTTCAATCCCCAGTACCAAAAAACAAAACAAAAAATAAAATATTCAAGAAAAAAGTGTAAATAGAAGGAAAAAATGGAAACAAAGCTTTTGTACATAGGGAGGGGAGGAGGGGCTTTAGGGGAGAATGGATAAAATAAAATAAATAAAAAATAAACATAAAAATGAAGTATTCATAGTATTTTCCCATCCCATTGTGTGCTTTATGAATTGGTAAAAAGGTGAGTAAGTATATTTAATAACCCTTAGTGCCCTTTAACTCCATGAGCTCTTCTTGATTTACAACCTGTCAGGGATTTTAATCCCGGGGAGACCTGATGCCGTTGCTGCTATTTCATGCAGTCACCTCCAGGTTCCCCTCCTTCGCACTCTTTCCTGCAGCTCGGAGCCTTTACTGGCCTGTCACCAAAGTCCGTCCCGGGAATTTCCTTCCTGAGGATCTCCTGCAGTGACCTCCCAGTCTCTATATGAACACGTCATGTTGCCCTCACTCTCTTTCAAAAATATAAATCAACTCAGAAAATGAGTACATTTGGGGATCTCCTCAAGGAGCTGGCTGAAGCTCAGTGGTCCAGTGCTTTCCTTGCACGTGTGAGGCTCTGGGTCTCACCAACAGCCATGCAGGCGAGTCCTCAGATTCCAAGTGCAGCTGGATCCGCCTCAGGCCCCAGCAGAGAGTTACCAGGTCCACTTCAGACACCACAAACAGCACAGCGGCAGGGATGTGGAAGTCAGAAGCAATAAATACACAGCTGGCACCACCCTGCAGTGCATTTGATCTGTTTTTGAGGCTTTATTCCAGGCAATGCTTCAGGCCATGTCCGCTTGCTGACTGTGGGAGTCTAGTAGAGCCGCTGGTGCTTCTGTCCTCCAAAGTCAGTGGACAGGCCAGCCGTCACTCCTACTGCCTGCGCTCCGAGGGCCAGCTATCTGGGGAGGGGAGGCAGATTATGGAGCCCTTTCTCTGTGCTACTAGTTTTGCAGGGACGTGGCACGTGCCAATTCTTCCTTACTTTCCCTTGGCACTGACTGAGGTCGGTAAACATGTGAGTTGGTTTCGGGAAGCTTCCTGGTCATTCTTAGAACCCTGCTGCATCCCATTTGCTCTCAATTCTTGTCCACAAACCCCACTGGATAGAGCTCAGGCCTTCTTTCCTGCTCCACCACATCCTTCCCATGTATTCAAAGAAATCTTTTGATCTATTTATTTGGTCTTAATCCAGTCATCCCACTCTGTCTTCCTGCTCACTATTGCTCTTCTAATTTGTGCCCAATGTGGAGCCAAACTGGGTTTTGGGGATTGTGTTTTTAAGCTCTAGAATTCCTACACGGTTATTTTTCAAACTTTGTCTGGTTTTCTCCTTGTTTCTTAATATTTTCAAAGTTCTTTTAAAAACCTTAAGGGCATTCGTTTTAAGATCCACACGGAGTCGCGCCACTGTTTCTGCTCCTTTGTGGTTGGTGCTGGGTTCCTGGTGTTTGGGGTTTACTTCCGCTACTTACTACTCCAGGGATCGTCTTTCGGGTTTCCTAAGGCCTAGGGTGAAGCTGTTTTCCTGTGGGGCCATTTGGATTTCTGTGCTGCTTGCCATGGGCATCACTGGTCTGGAGCCTTTACAGACAATTTCCCCTTTACATTCTCTGGTTGCAAATCCGCACTACGCAGCCCGTTTTAGCTCCTCCGAGGCAGGCCCCCCTTCCTTACCTCCTCAGGACCCAGACACAGGCCCTGGCCCGTGGGGTGCAGAAGGGCTGTGGGTCCTTTTCACCTCCCTGCTCCACCTGGGGAGGAGCTGTGAGGCTGGACCCCTGGTGCTGGGCTGCCGAACTGGAGCCCCTGTCCCAACCCCACTGATGCCAGGGTCACTGCCTCTCTTTCCCGCACTTCCTGGACTGAAATTTCAAGGTCTCTCCCAGCCCTTTCTGGGCTGCAGGGTCTGAGGGTGGGGATGCCCAGGAAGCAGGTCCACAGTCGCGGTCCTTGGACCTACAGGGCAGTGGCCTTGGCCTCGCTGGGGTCCTGGAGAGGAGAGGCCCCGTCACCCCTGCCCTAGAGGTTAGGGTCCCCTTGGGGCGCCCCCTGGCGTCTGCGCAGGGCACCAGCGTTTGTGCGGACGCTCACAGCCCCGCCGTGCAGCCAGGGCCGCCTACCCTCCGGACCCGTGGAAGCCCCTCCTCCCTGCAGGACCAGCCTGCACGGCTCACCTGGGGTCCTCCACGCGGAAGAACGAATCCGGATGGAGGCGGTCCCTGCCGCGCTGTCTCCCTCTGCGTGTTGGGGCTGCGCGGGGAGTGGAGAGGGCGCCAGGACCCAGGACTTTCCCGCGCCCGGCCCGACGCCCATGGCCCGGCTACCTCCGCGCGGGCTCTGCTGCGCGCGGCGGTGACACCGGGTGATGGGCAGCTCCCAAGCCTGAGGCAGCCCGGGGCGGTGGTGGCCTCGGGTCCGCGCCTGACCCCGCCACCCGGGGCAGTGACCGCGCGCAGGGTCGGCGGGAGGCTGGACAGGGCCGTGGGGCTGCGGGCGAGGCGGCAGGAGAGAGGGCCGCGGGCCTGGGGCGCCCCCTGTGGGCGTCGCGCTGTGGTCGCGCGTCCGAGGGGCTCCCGCGGCGTGGACCCAGAGCGTGTGGCTCGCGCTTGTTGAGGTCCCAGGCTCTTAAGGCCAGCAACCCCGTGCGTTCGCGGGGGGCATCGAGAGGCCGGTGACACCCCGGGTCACAGGGGGCGAGGGGGCCGCGCATCGACCCTCCACGCGCGGGGACCCCGTCGGGCCCAGTCCCTTGGCTTTGTCCGGTGCCAGCGCCGCCTCATCCCAGCCAGCCTGCCGGGAGCTGGCTCGCGTTGTCATGACGACGACATGGTGTGGGGGCGGGGGCGGTCGGGCCCGGCGCATGCGCCGTCGCGGTGCGTCATCCGAGACGCCGAACGATTGCTCCTGGGGTCGGTGAGCCTCGGTGAGAGCGGGCGAGGTGCTCTAGGCCGCGGGCCGGGGCTGGGCCCGGGAGTGGGGCGGGACCGGCGGGGTTCGAGGTCTGCGGAGTGGGCGGCCCGGATTACGGGCCAGGGTGGGTGTGCCTAGGGTCCGCGGGCCGGGAGGGGCGGGCGCGCGGAGCTGACCCGGCTCGCCGCAGGGCGGCCCGGGTCCTCCCTCGGCCATGGCCCCCGCGCCCTCGTGCCGGGCCCTGCTGTCGCCCACGCCGCTGCTGCTCCTGCTGCTGAGCCTGGCACTGCTAGGAGTCCGCGCCGAGCCCCCCGCTGGGAGCGCCGTCCCTGCGCAGAGTAAGTGCGGCCGTCCCACCCGCCTTTGTCCCCGGAAGCGGTGGACGCGGAGTGGGGGCGTGGGCGGGCGTACGAGGACGCCTCCCGCGCTCGCTGGGACTCGGGGTGACGCTGCCCGCGCCCGCAGGCCGCCCCTGCGTGGACTGCCACGCGTTCGAGTTCATGCAGCGCGCGCTGCAGGACCTGCGGAAGACGGCCTACAGCCTGGACTCGCGGGTGAGCGGGTGGGGCGCGGCGGGAGCCCTCAGCCAATTCAGTCCCCTTGTCTGCCCTGCTCCCTGAAGTTACCCCTGGGATTCTGAGCGCAGGTCTCACACCAGCACGCTCCTCCGTGTCCAGCGCTTTGGGGCCATGTCCTATCTGCTGTGGCAGAGGGACGGGATCTCCATCCCAGATCCAGGATGCTCATCCGGGATGAGGCCAGGCCGAGAGGGCCTGGCTGGAAAGAGGGTGTGGCCAGTGTGGGGGATGGGAAGTCAGGGAGGTCCTAGGCTGCAGGGTGCGGGGGGGGGGGTGTAGAGTCCTTAGTGACAGGAGTTCCTGGAAGTGGAAAAGACCCAGCCCCACAAGCCCTGTGCCCGATTGTGGACAGTGTTGGAAGGCACACACTAGGGGACAGGTCTGGGGCCGGGCTCTTGGGGGCCCCTGGGGGCCCCTGGCTTGTCTCAGGATTGCAGTGGGGTGTGGGGTTCAAGACAAAGACACTGAGAGGTGGGGTGTGAGTTGGGGAAGGAATGGAGATTAGGGGTAGATGGTCTGCAGGGCAGGAGAGGGGAGAGCGGGGAGGGTTGGGTGGGTGCAGCTGCCAGGAACCAGTGCCTGGGCTGTGCCACCCACACGCTTCTCTGTTTTGCAGACCGAGACCCTCCTGCTGCAGGCCGAGCGCCGGGCCCTGTGTGCTTGCTGGCCAGCTGGGCGCTGACCACCCCAGCCAGTGCTGTCTTCTGTCAATAAACTCTGCTCATAGCCCGTGTCCTGTCTCCATACTCTGACCACCAGAGTGTTTGTCGCACCACAGGAGCCCCTGGTTAGGAGTCTCTGGGCCTTGCTTTCCCTGGCTGTCCAGGTGGAAGGCCCCATCGGTGTCACGACCAGCTCAGTGTGCCCTTGTCCATACAGGAAGTGCCCCTGCTTCTGCAGGCACTGGGCACAGCCCTCTCAGTCCTGCACCAGGCCTGCTTGTCCTCTGTAGACACTGGCCAGACATCCTCGGTCCCCCAAGACTCCTCTGCATTGGGGTGGGGACAGCTGCAGTGGGGCTCCCTGGAGACTCAGAGCCTGGGCTTCTAGGAGACAGGGCAACTGAGCAGAGGGTAGGTGGCCAGTGGCTGGCCCTGCCTGGGCAACAAGGACGACTGGCTGTGAGTTGGTGGTCCCCATGCACATCTGCACAGGGCACACAGTGCCTGGCAGCGGTGAAGCAAGGACAGCTCCTTCCCTGTATCTGTCACATAACTGCTTTTGGAAATGGAGTTGATACCTTTTGTCAAAGGACAGAACACACTGCCAGAAGTGAATCCAGGCACACAGGAGGACAAGGCCACAGTGACGGACACAGCCCAGATGGACATGTGGGCTCTTGGAGCCTCAGCTCTAACACTGGGCTCTGTGCTGCTGTCCCAAGTGGGTCCTGTGCATTCCCGCAGGAGGCCAGTCCTGGAGCACACAGTCCTGCTCTGGGCCTGTCCTGTTTTCTCCCTCTCTCCTTTTTCCTTTTCCTCTTCTTCCTCGCCCATCTGTTTGTCTGTCTGAGAGACTGGGGATTGAACCTGGGGAGCATTGAGCCATATCCCCAGGCCTTTTTATTTTATTTATTTATTTTGGTACCGGGGATCGAACTCAGGTCCTTGCACTTTCGAGGGAGGTGGTGGAACCACTGAGCTAAATCCCCGGCCCTTTATTTCTTTTGATAGAGAGTCTCGTAAGTTGCCCAGGCTGTGATCAATTTTGAGTACACATATGGTGGGAAATGAGAAGGAGGAGGCGAGGAATGTAGATTTTGTTCTAGGTATGTGTTGCCGGACAGCAAATTAATACAGGAATATTTTCAGTGTAAGTATTTCCCGTGTAGTATTTGGGATGGACTTAGACTGAAAGTTATTGTTTATCCAAAATCCCAGTTTCAGTGGGCGTCCCATATTTCCCAGGCAGCTGTCAGCCCTTCGCGCAGTGTCCAGTTAACTACAGAGCCTGAGACTTCCGGGAGAACATCCGGGGGCCCCTAAGGATGGAGTGGGTGCCAGCTAGGCTGATACAGGATTGGCACCAGGAGGGGCCCTAGGGACCACAGGGAATGGGCTGGAGCTGGACAGGAGGGAGGAGTGGTATTGTTTTGGTTTTCCCCACCATACTTAGGGGCTTCACACTGGGCTACGTCTTCAGACCTTTTTAAAAAATTTTTTGAGACAGTCTCAGTAAGTCACTGAACTGTCTAGGCTGGGCTTGAGTTGTGAACCTCCTGCCTCAGCCCCCCAGTGTCAGGATGACAGGTGTGGTGCCTGGCTACCTTCAGGGTTTGGAATAAGCAGAGGTTAGCTCTGAGGTCTGAACAGGACCCTTTCTGGTGGACAGCACTGGAGCAGCACCATGGAGCAAGTGGCTGTGGGAGAGCAGCTGGGCTCCAGATGTGTTTGGGAACAGTCAGCAAGGGCCATGCCACTGGATGGGGACACCTGGGCAAGGAAGGGCCCTGGAAGAGAAGGCTGTGCTGGCCAAGGTCCCTGTGGCCTGGGAGTGGACAGAGGAGCCAGGTGTCCCGAGGGCTGGGAGCTGTGTGCCGCTGAGGCCAAGCCCACACTGAAATGGGCCCCGGCTGAAGCTGAACACAGGTAGAGATGGGGAGGCCTGGCTGGGGTTCTGGGTGGGGCAGAGAGGGAGCCAGGGATGCCTTGCTTCCCTGTGGTCAAGGTCACTGGCTTTCAGTCTGTCCTGGGCCCTGACAGCCGCATGAATAGCAGGGCTCCTGCTGGTCTGTGTGTCCCCATCCTGGGCTGTTCTTGCCAGGAGCCCCCTGCCCTAGACCCCACATGCCCTTCTCCCCACTGCAGGCTGTTTGGTCGAGTTGGTCAGCAGCACCTTCTGTGGCAGTTCACAGGTCAATGCCTCGGCCAGGCTGCGCTGGGCCTGCTCGAGTTCCTTCCTGGTCTCAGGGCCCCAGCCTCCAGCCCGTTCTCTGCCCTTCCTTTCTGTGGAGAGGATGGGTGATGACATAGGCACTCTGTGACCGGGACTTGCTTTCTGCCCCAGGGGCGGCTGAGGGCACTTTCACCTGGAGCCTAGGATCCTGCTTGGGGAAATGACATCTGCTAACCCAGCCTCCACCAGTTCCTCTGGCTAGTGGCACACTGCGCCTTCTGGACCAGCCCTGATTTTCTTCCCTGCTCTGTCTCCTGGGCTCTGCTACTTTTTAAACACGCCTTTCCCCAGCCCTCGCCCATCTCTGTTTGTGTTCCTTTCTCAGGGCTCTGGCGCCTCAGACTCCCCTCCATCCATGGGGACATGACCTCAACAGCATGTCCTTAGACACCCGGGCTGGGGGCCTTCCTCCTAGTGAGACATCCTTACCCGCACCTGTTTCGGAGTCTGGCCGGGTCCCTCCTGCCCACCTGAGGTCCTGGGAGCGGAGAGGGCCTGATGCTCCCAGCTCAGGAAAGCAGAGCAGGCAGGGATTCGAGGTCTCCCTCTCGGTTTTCAGGGCTGTGGGCAGAGGGTGCGCGCTGGCTCCCCGCATCACTAAGGAAGAAACTGAGGCTCCAAAGCCTGCGTTACCCTACCGTACCCAGGTGCGTGTTCAGGCCTCCATGCCCATCCGGAGGCTGAGGGGGCCCACTGGCCCCTTGGTACCCCCAAACGGACTCCTGTGAACCAGGGCCTGCGTGGGGTCACACGGTCGCGGGGACCTGGGGGCCGAGGGTGCGGGAGGGGGTCCTGCAGGGTTGGAGGAGACTACCTAGGACCCTAGGCTCTGCTTCGGTCCGGTCCCGGAGCCCGGCAGTGGGGCAGAACAGGGATGGCCCGGACCCCGCGTCGGGGCCTGCAGTGGGTGGGTAAGAGCCCACAGTCTAGTCTGGACCACCGCTCTGAGGTCACAAGGTCACGGAGGCCCGACACCCATGCCAGCGCGGGCTCTGACCTGTCGGGAGCTCCTGGCCAGTGGACTTGGCCTCTCCCCTTTCGCGGCCCCCACCAGGTGCACGGTAGTGCGACCGCACTGTCCTACTTTCCTGCCTGGCCCCTCGCACGCAGGTGATGACCTGGGCATGCCTGGCCGGCCGGGGCCCTGGTGGCCACTGTGGCCATTCTGGCCCTTGGTCCACGTGTGGGCGGTGGAGGTTGCTGTTTGAGATCCTCCGCTTCACTCGTGAGGTCACGGCCAGGTCTAGACTTTCCTTGCGTCTCAGAAATGTGCAGGGTGACAGTGCCAGTTCCAATCCCCTTCCGCGCCACCGGCCCGGCTGTCCCCTCCCAGCGCTGGGTGACCTCCGTGTGACTTCAGCCGCCCCTAAGTTCCCAAGTCCACGTCACAGCGCAGGTCGAGGGGCCTCAGGCCCGGACCCCAGGCCTCGGCCCCAGGTCCCCGCCCAAGCGCGCGCCGCTGCCCTTCCTGAGGCGGAGGGGCGCAGGGCTGTAGGGGGACAGAAGCGCGCAGCGCGCACGACAGGGTGCCGGACTACCCGAGCCGCTTCCCGGACGACGCCTCTCGCGCCAAGCCTGCCGAGTCCGCAGGTCCCGCGTGGAGACACTGCCGTGCGCCACCAGACCCCTGCACCCGCACTGCGCCCACGGGGCGCATGCGCGGGCCGCGGAGGGCGGGGGCCCGAGGGTCCCGCGTTCCCCTCACCGCGCCCGCCGCGGGGACCCAAGTCGGCTGGCGTGTGCGGCGCTGCGCGAGGCGGCAAGGGCGTGGGCATTGCGGGCCGCCTCGGAAGCTCCCCGTTCAGCCCGCCCGGCCCTGCCATGGGAGCTCGGGGACCGCGACCGCAGCCGCGCTCAGACAAAGGGGCGGGAGACGCGGATGCTCCTGTGACTGCGCCCGGCGCCGGCGTTTCGGGCGCGCGGGGCGTGGCAGAAGGCGCCCATCACGCGCTCCCCGCCGGCCTCCGGAGCCCGCGCTGCGCCTCCGGGCCCGGAACTCGGGCCGGGCCGCCGCCCCCGCCCCGCTGCCCGGCCCCCGCGCTGTCACCCCCCCGCCCGCCCGCCCGCAGCGCTCGAGTGTGCCACGGGCGGCGCGGAGGCGGCGGCTCTCCCACCCCAAGATCACATGGTGACCCTCGGCAGCCAATGCAGTGGACGCTAGGACCCTGCGGGACCCGGGCGCCGCGACTGCACCGGCGCCACCGCATTATAAATACTTCTCCAAAATGCGGCGCAGCTCCCTGCGCGCGCCCCGGCCGCCCGCCGCCTCCGCCCCGCTTCCCTGAGCCGCCGCTGCCGCGCCCTCGCGCTGGGCCCGGGCTGTGCCCGCCGCCGGCCGCGTCCCCCCGCAGCGCCGCCCGGCCGGGTGCATGCATTGTGGGCCTCCCGACATGGTCTGCGAGACGAAGATCGTGGCCGCGGAGGACCATGCGGCGCTGCCTGGGGCCAAGAAGGACTCGCTGCTCAACGCCGCAGGCGCCATGTGGCCCCCGCTGCCTGCCGCGCCCGGCCCGGCCGCCGCGCCCCCCGCGCAGGGACCCCCGGCTGGCGGCGGCGCGGGGGGAGCGGGTAGCGCGGGGCCGCCGGGGGGGCGCGACGTGTGCATCCGCGAGTTCCGCGCCGCTGAGCAGGAGGCAGCGCGCCGCATCTTCTACGACGGCATCCTTGAGCGTATCCCCAACACCGCCTTCCGCGGCCTGCGGCAGCACCCGCGCGCGCAGCTGTTCTACGCCCTGCTGGCCGGTCAGTGCGCGGGGCCGGGTGCCGCAGTCCGGGGCGGGGCGGGGCGCGTGGGGGGCTCCGCTGTGGTAGCCTCCGGGGCGTGGGAACGCGAGGCGAGGACGGGCTGTGGGCAGGGCGTCCCCGCTTCCCTGCTGACCCGTCGTGTCGCGGTCCCCGCCTGGGCACCCCAGTGGGGGCGGCGTGACGGGGCAGGTGTCGCGGGGCGCGGAGCCTATATATAACCGGCGGGCGGGGGAGGCCGTGCACCCGGGACTGAGAAGACGGCGGCAGGCGCCCGTCCTCCAGGCCCCGCTGGGCAAGGCCGGCTTTCCATTGCACAGATGGGGAGCCGGGGACCGCCCTCCCAAGGTCACCGGGGAAGCGACCTTCACCCTGAACCTCCGCCTCCTGGGCAGTCTGAGTGTGGCTGGCGGGGTGTGAGTCTCTGCCCGGCCCGGAGCCACCTCCCCAAGCCGGCCGCAATGGGGGCTCCCTCCAGCTCCCCGGGGGTGCGCCAGGTCAGATCCGGTGGGGAGCAGCAGGGGACTGCCCGGGTGGCGAGCACTGGCAGCCCAGGGAGTAGCAATTCGGGGCAGACTCTCCCGTGGTGTTCCCACTTTGTTTCAGGTTAGGAAGGTAGCGTGTCTTTGTGGCAGGAAATTTCAAAATAGGGACTCGTAGAAAGGGGCCGCAGACCATGACTCTGCTCCTGCTCGGAGTCGTCTCTGTCGCGCATGCCCCTGAGCGCTGCACTACCAAGGTGGCTGGGGTGTTGCAGGGCCAGGTGTGTCTTGCCCACCCCAGGTCCAGGCCCAGGCCAGCAGCGCCGCCCCTTCCCACTCACCTGTGCCCCTTGCCTGCAGCGTTCTGCTTTGCCGTGACCCGCTCGCTGTTGCTGACTTGCCTGGTGCCCGTGGGGCTGCTGGCCCTGCGCTACTACTACAGCCGCAGGGTGATCCTGGCTTACCTGGACTGCGCGCTGCACACCGACATGGCCGACATTGAGCAGTACTACATGAAGCCCCCCGGTGAGTGGGGCCGTGGATCCTTTTCTCCCCTCCCTCTGCCCCTTTTTTGGGCAGAGCTGCTCCCTGCCCCGGCGCCAGGGCATGGGCTGGGGTCCTGAGGAACTGAACCCCTGAGTGACAGGCTTTTTGCCGAGGTTGGGGTGTCCCTAGGTGGGGCAGGCAGAGCTGGGTCCTCTCCCTGGGTGGCCCCAGCTGGCTCTGGGCCAGGGCGGCTGGGCGCAGACCTGCTGGGTGGGGTGAGGCCCTGGCTGTAATAGCTTGTTGGATTTGGGGCTTATGGGGAGGGGAAGATGACATAGAGGAGGGGCGGCACCCCAGGAGCAGAACCTCAGGGCAGAGGTCCTGGTCCTGGTCTCAGCCTCTGCTTCGGCTTGGCCTCCAGGCCACTCAGTGACCGAGAGGCTGTGTTGGCTCTGTGGCCTTCTGTTGAGGAAGGGGCTGGGACCTGGGGGGCCCGGGACTCAGGACTGTTCTCTGCCCCAGGGTTGCCCCTGAGGCCCTAAATCTGGAGAAAGGAGACTTGGCCCTTTGGGGTGTGAGGGTCTGTCAGGTGCTGGAGCGTGTGGGCCGAGGAGGGGCTGGGTAGCAGGAGCCAGCTGCGTGTGTGGAAGGGCACCCTGCTCTGGGCGGCCAGCTTCTGGCGCTGCCTGTTCTGTGCCTCCCAGCCCTCTTGGGCTCCCTTTATCTGAAAGCTTTCCCCAGATCCAAACAAAGCATCCACTTACCTGGCTCTGCAGGGCAGGGGACAGGGCCACATAGAAGCGGTCATGGGGTGCAGCACAGCTGGAGGTCCCTGCTGGGGCCAGGCCTCTTGGGGCTTATGGCTCCTGGGGGGTCCTTGTGTGCTCTTCCTGGGACATCTGGGTCCATAGAAAGACTCCACAGGGCACAGACTAAACAGCTGCTGTTAGGGTGTGCAGATCTGTGGGAGTTGCTCATGCAAACCAAGAAACTGAGGCTTGGGGAGGGAGGAGCAAGGTATGCTCAAGGCCACTCAGTGCCGGGGCGACCTCAGTGCTGGCTTGCCAGGTGGGGAGGGACCGGCTCAGGGGACACCCTGAGGCTTGGGGTGGAGGGTTCTCCTGGGGAGCTCCAGCTGCTTCTGCTGCTGGTGAAAGTGGCCATCGAGGCCCTTAGTGATCCCTTAGCTGCATGAGCATCAGGTCCTGCGTTGGACAAGATGGCATCGCCTTCGTGGGGGTCAGGAGGGGAGTGCTTTCCAGGTTCAGCACAGACCTCTGGGGAGGATTTGGGCCCTCAAGAGAGGCTAGGGAGGGCTGTGCAGGAGGCAGGGTGCACTGGCCAGGTCCAAGGAGTGGGCACCCCTTGGCTGGTCAGCTCTGCCCTCTGCTCCCCCTCAGCCTCCAGAGAGGTCTCTGTGTGTCTCTCCCACCTTTGGCTATCAGAGATAGCCAGGTTTTCCAGTGCCCTCTCCCCTCCCAGTCTCCTGGCCCTCTGCTGGTCAGCAGCTGGCCTGGGCTGTGCTGTGGGCAGGCACAGTTGCCCGGAGAGGAGAGACTGGATCAGTGGGGCTCCAGGTGCCTGCGACTGTCCCTGGTGTCCCAAAGGGTAATGAAGTGTCCTCCAGTGGGTGCCCTCAGTTCCCAGAACAGGCTGGGAGGAGTGTAGCCAGCTGGGCTGGGAGCCAGGGCAGGTTGGCTATATCTGGGGCCTGGCCTGGGTCACCTGTGGCCGTTCCCGTGTTGGTCCTGGGTAGGGGCCCTGGCTGAGGCCAGCTCTCTTGTTCTGGGGGGCTCCTCGGCCTGCCCTTTCGTGTGTCCCTGACTGTCCTGTTCCCACAGGCTCCTCCTTTTGGGTGGCTGTGCTGGACGGTAACGTGGTGGGCATTGTGGCTGCACGTGCCCACGAGGAGGACAACACGGTGGAGCTGCTACGCATGTCTGTGGACTCCCGCTTCCGTGGCAAGGGCATCGCCAAGGCGCTGGGCCGGAAGGTGCTGGAGTTTGCGGTTGTGCACAACTACTCTGCGGTGGTGTTGGGGACCACAGCTGTCAAGGTGGCTGCCCACAAGCTCTATGAGTCACTGGGCTTCAGACATATGGGCGCAAGTGACCATTACGTGCTACCTGGCATGACCCTCTCGCTGGCCGAGCGCCTCTTCTTCCAGGTCCGCTACCACCGCTATCGCCTGCAGCTTCGTGAGGAGTGAGGGTCACTGCCCGCCCACCGCCCCATCCGCCCCCCTACACCTGTGCCCACCCACCTGCCCACCCACCCGCCTGCCGCCTGGTGCGGCCCTGCTTCCAGACGCTCACCTTGGCGTTTGTGTTGGGCTTTCTCCTTCAACATCACGTGGTTATCTGGCTGTTCCTGGGTGTGTGGGGCTGTTGCTCATCTGAGACAGGGCAGTGGGTGGGGTCTGCAGCCATGGCCTCCCCCCCAGCCTTGGGAAGCGGAGTTGTGGACCCTCAGACTACCCACCAAGCTGCCACCTGCCTCTGTCCGGAAGGCCTCATCTCATTAAGCACAGAAGCTCTGCCCAAATCCTCCAGGAGCAGACTCCAGCCCCCTGGCCAGGCTGTGGCCCGGCCATTGTCCCTGAAATGTGGCCCAGGCTGGCTGGCCGCTGCCCTTAGGGAGGCTGAGGTGGCTTCAGGCCCCATGCTGCTCTGTGCATGCTGAGGACGTGGCTGTCTGCCGCATGCCGCATGCCACAGCCCCTGCCCTGCTGCCCTTCCCAGACCGGACCCAGGACCCAGGCCTGTGTGCACTCCAGGGGGGCTGGCCTGGGCCCGCCCACCCTGCACCCACTCCTGCTTTGCTTTGATACTCCTGGTATCCCTGCATCCTGTGCCTGGGCTTGGCTGACTTGGTGCAGCACCCAGGTGTGGTTCCTGTAGTGACCTGTCTTACATCATGGCGGGGGCCCAGGGGGACACCTGTTCCCCAGTGCCTACTAGATCAGGCGACCCCTCCCAGCTACCTGTGGCCCCCTGCCTCAGCTGTCTGCCGGGGTCCACCCTGTGAATCTTACTAGCCCAGGCTGCTGCCGGTGATGCCCAGCCACAGCTTCTCCCAGCCTGAAACTGACCCGTTTTCTAATAAGTTACTTAGACAGAATAGCACTCTGCATGACTTTAATTCTTGGGACAAAATGGTAGTTTGTACCTTCAGACACACACGTCCGTGTGGTGCTAGCATATGCACTGTTTCTGGCCCCGTTTGATGGGGGTGGGTGGAGGGCTTCATAGTGAGATCTGGGGAGACCCTGACCTAGTGTAATCCCTCTGCAAAAACATTCCTGGCTTGTGAGGAAGCTGCAGGCTGCCCCTTCCAGCCCTGGTCTGCAGGACTGAGGGGACAGGGCCCATCCCATAGTCCTGGAGGGGAGTTGGGCACTGCCAAGGGAAGGTGAGCAGGACCTGCTATCTCGCCGTGGCCAGCTCAGCTGACTTGAGGGTGGCTGGGCAGGGAGAGGGATGGTAGGGCTGGAAGTGACCACTGGTCAACTGAGCCTGTGCCTAGTCTTATATGGGAGGGCCACCCAGACCCCTTTGTGTGGAGCTTGAGGGACTGGGGGAATGGCAGGCAGGGTGGCCACAGAGCTGGGACCCTGACACCGAGAATATGCTCTTAGGCTCTTCAGGAGGGAATGGATTGGCAGCCCAGCCCTCACTCCAGGGGCCTTTTTGTTCTGTTAGCAGTTGAGGCACTTGCAGAGCACTGTACAGACCCCGCTATCCCCTGTACATTCCTCCCTGGTGGCGCCCGGTCCCCTTTGGGGGTGGGAGTTTTGTAGACTGTACAGAAATTGGCACCCTATTTTCTTGCAGCTCTCAGATTTTGTTAATCTGGATTATACAGACAGACGTAAAGTGTTTTAGCAAAATGGAAAACAAACAGTTGTGCCTTCTTTTTCTGTTTGGTTTGGTGTTGGCTTGGGCTGGTCTTAGTTGCTGGGGGCCGTTGGGGCTGCTGGCCAGTCTTAGGCCCTGGGCCGGGGCAAGGCCGCTGTAAGTGGCAGTGTCTGGTTGGTGGGCAGCTCCAGCCAGCAAGGCTTCACTCCCTGTGCCTTCAGAGCCTGTAGTTGCTGGGGCTGGGCAATGGGGTGGGGGCAGCTGGGCTCACAGATCAGGCAGAGCCCGGTACCAGGGAGCCCTTAAGCTGACCTGGGGCTGGCTCTTGGCAGCCCCATTGCTGGGCTCAGAGGCCTTCCTGGCCTAAGCTGCCTCTGCCCCAAGAGATCTCTTGCCAGCCATGCGGGCCATGGGTCGAGGGAGGGACACTTGCTGGGCTCTCAACTGTCTTTTGGCACCCTTCTGTCGCTGCTGGGATTTGGCTAAGATGCCAGGAGCAGGTTGGCAGGGTGGGCTTCAGCCCTCGCCAGGCTGGCAGGCAGACCTCCTGTCCCTTGGAGCTACAGGCTGGGTGCGCTGGTGCCCCTGCCCACCCCAGCCCTCCATGTCCCCCAGCTTGAGCGCTAATTGCTCCGCAGTTGTGCACTGACACAAATTTTATACGTTTGTGGAAACTGCTGTGTCTTCTACCTCCATGGAGGCCCTTCTGGGCTCACTGCCGGTGTTTGGTGTGGTTCCTCTGAGTTTGCCAGCCCACTGCTCCCTCCCTGGGTCTCTCACCGCTTTGTGGCCTGACAAAGTCTAGGGAGCCCAGCCTGGGGGCCCAGGGTTTCTGTTGTTTGTTTGCAGGCCTCTGTGGAGCGGGAGGGTGGATGCTGGGGCAGTGTCCAGGCCATCAGTGTTTGCTGAGCCTGGGGAACAGCTGCTAGGTGTCCCCTGGCAGCTCCCCTGTGGGTCCTGCATCCATGCAGACAGTCAGCCCCTGGGGTGGGTGGCCAGGAGGTTGGCACACCTGTACTGAGGCCATCTGTGGTTGGCCCGAGTGCAGGGAGGTTGAGCTCTTGTGTCCATGGCAGCCTCTCCCCAGTCCTACATCTACTTCCGTGCCCAGTGGCTGAGATGTGTGCAGATGGTGGGGCTGAGGGAGTGGATAGCAGCCCAGAGACCTTGAGGCCCTGCGTGGCCCCTGGCCTGCTCTGGGTCCTTTCTCAGAGCGATGGGCATTCACAGGCCCTAGAGGGGAGAAGAGCTTCCCGGCCTTTGCCAGGTCCCCTTTGCCAGGGGTGCTCTGAGCCCGGGCCTGGCTTTGAGAGGCTTATTGCCTGTGCCGCCTGTGCCACCTGCCCTTGCCTGTCCTGGGTGGCCTGAGCCCATGCTCTCCCTGGAGCTGGCTTCGGGGGCTGCGTATGTGGCCAGGGCTGTCTGGGCTTTGCTGGTATGTGGGCTTCTTGGGCTGTAGGTGGCTCCCAGCCTGGCGGGGAATGTGTGGGCACCTGTGGGCCCATCTCCCTGTCAGTGCCTGAGGGGCAGCCGGGGGCTGCCCCTGCCTGTCGGTGGGTGTGTGCTGGTGTGTGTGCCGGGCCTGGCCTTGGGCTCAGGCTGTCAGGGTTGAGTTCAGGGCTGGCCCTGGAATGAACTGCCCCATGGTGCGACGTCCATGGGCAGCACAGCTTGCCAGAGCTGCCCGGGCTGGGGTGGAGGCTGAGCCCTGACTTACCATCTTTGGATGTATTTTTTAAACAGCAATAATTAGCCATTTTAAGGAAGGGGTGTACCCACATGTGTGCGTGCGTGGCTGTGTAGTGCAGCTGTGTGAGCGTCTGTGGATGTGTGCACGTGAGTATGCGTGTGTCTGAGCATCTGTGCACACTGCCTGCGTGTGGACACCTGCATACGAGTGTGTGTGCACGTGTGTGTGTACAAGTGCTGCACGTGTGAGCCTGTGTGCCTGTGGGTGAGCACTGCGTGTGTGCCTGTAAACAGCTGTCCATGTGGATGGAGTGTGTGCGCACATGTGAGTGTGTGCAGGTGTTGCGATGGGGAGGGCGTGGGCAGGGCTTCCTGCTCTGGGAGGCGCTCTGTGGTGAGAAGCAGGGTCCCGGGCCCCGGGCCGGGCCGGCTCTATGTGTGTACCCCAGCCCTGCTGGGTGCCAGATAGGTGGTCAGCTGCAGTCCACCTCCCTCTTGGCCGAGGCAGGGCAGAGGCAGGAGGCCCCATGAACAGACCTGCCCTGCTTTGGTTGGGGCAGGGGCCACGTCTTGGTGGGTCTCACTGCCGTGGTGTGTTCCTAAGCTGTACTGTGAGCCCAGGACAGGGCGGGTGTCCTTTGGCCCCGGGATGTGCCAAAGCAGCCCCGAGGGCCAGGTGACAAGCCGAGTCCCCAGGAGACAGGCTGGGCCCAAGTGGGTGTGTGCCAGCCTGCATGGCCCCCAATGCTGCTGTTTTTCAATAAAATCAGAGTTGAAGGAACCGCCTCTGTGCTTTATTGAGACACCTCCTGGGCTGGAGTCCTTGCCTCCCACCCAGGCCCCTGCTCCCTCCTGGGAGCTCGGCTGAGGCGACCCCGAAGCAGGTGACAACCAGGTGGCCCTGTGGGCCTCCCAGGTGCATCTGGGAAGGAGTCTGGTGCTCTGCCTGTGTGTGGGGGGCCAGGCTGCAGCCCCGGGTAGGGAGCTGGGCTAGTGGGTGGTGTGGCTCAGGCGCAGCACACTTCTGAGCAGCTGCCCAAGGGTGCTGCTGCCCCAGGTTCGGAATCCCTAAACCCCTGACACTGCCGAGAGACAGCTTGCCGCCCCCCCCACCTAGGGGACCTCTGCCGCCAGGCCCCCTGCTCTATCTGGCCTGGGGCTAAGGTGCCAGCAAGGCAAAGAGCTGGGCTTGGGGCTGGGGGTTGGGTGCTGGTGGGACCTTGGCCCCTTCCAGGCCTGCAGCCCCTGCCAGGCAAGCCCAGGTCTGGGTTCTTAGTTCCAGGGACATTGACACCCCTCAGTGGGTGGCTGCTCGCAGACCTGGATCCTGCCTGCCTAACATTCTGAAGACTGGTGTGAGGCTGGGTCCACACAGGTGGGTGGGATGGAGCCCCACTGTCCTTAGGGGTATGGAGGGTGCTGGGCACTGTGGGGTGGGTACAGACCCCTCGCCTGCAGATCCCAGTGCTAGGTGCCAGCTTGGTGGCAGAGGGATCCTGGGAGCCAGGGAGCCTTCAGTACCCCTCACCACAGGGTTCCTCCTCTGTCTCCCTCTTCCGCGCCCCTCTCCTGGCACATTCCTTCCTGACCACTCCCTGTGCCAGGGTCAGGGGCTGCCCCTCGGCCAACAGGAGGTGTTCATGGCCTTGGCGGGCTCGGGTAACAAACACCAAGCTCATCGGGATATCTCAGCTGGAACCAAGGCCAGGAGCCCTCAAGGTGCCTCCGCCCTGGATGGCAGCTCCCTGGCCGTGTGGTGCTGTGTGTGGTACACAGAGTGCAGGGCCTGACTGGACGCTCATTGAGATTTAGGGTGCTCAACTCCAGCCAAGTGGTGGGGGGCTGTGGTCATAGGCCCTCCCCAAGGACTCACACAGACCAGAAGGATGGCTTTGGAGGAGGTGTTTACTCAGGCAGACCCAGCCCTGTGCCCCTCCTGCAGCTCCCACACTGTCCGAGGTGACCTTGAAAGGCCACACAATGGGCTGGTGGAAGCCAGTTCTCTCCTCCCACTGTTGCCTGGGGCTACAGACAAAAACGAAGGGGAAAAATGCACGGGCCTGGGGTATGTGCTGAGGAGCCCTGGTGGAGGGCAGCCATCGCAGCCAGGCGACTCAGACTCATGTGACTCAGAGGAGCCCCGGGGCAGGGCCTCCTGCAGCGGGGCCAGGCATCCCCATGAGCGGCCGGCACTCAGGCTCACCTTCAGGGGCACCTGTGGGCGGCAGCCAAGAATGAGCCCGGGTTGTGGCCTGCTGTTCACGTGTAGGGTACAGAGCACACTGGTGCATTTACCACAGACATGAACAGACGCGGCCTGGCAGACTGCTGCAGACAGATGCACACACATTCACAGAGCGGGCACATGCATGTGCACAAGCACACGTCTGTCCAAGGATAGACAGCACCCCACTGCCAGGCGCGACTCCCCCACCGACTGGCCTCTTGCAAAGACCAGGCCTGCAGGGCTGCCAGGCAAGGGGCTTTGGGGTCCAAGGTGTGTCCTCGGGCATCTGCACTCACCATCCAGGGGCCCCGATTGGGAGCGGGCTCCAGCCCAGGGCTGTAGAGGAAGCCCTACAGCTCCTCCTTAAGTGGGGTTTGTGTGTGTGTGCAGGGCGCCACTAGCTGTAGCCCCTGTCCCCACAGCCTCTGCCTCCCAAAGGCTCCTGCTCCTGGGGGCAGAGTCCATGCTCTCCTGGGGGTGTAAGGGGCTCTGGGCTGCTGGGGGGTCCCTCACCTGCAGCTGCAGCTCTGGGCTCCAAAGGCGCTGCAAGGACTCCATGGCCCTCCTGACGAGCACTGCAACAGGAAACGGCTGCTTGCAACCTGCCTGGTCCCCAGATGGTCATCTAAATCCCTGTCCACAGCCGAGGGTGTTTTCTGAAGCCCCTTGGCTGTGCCCTCCTGCCCCCAGCAACCGGCCCTCAGCCTCAGGTCTCCCTGGTTGGGGCTGTTCAGCCAGGGGTGCCAGGCGCCGGGCTGGCCATCAGGCTCAGGCTAGGGAGGGGTCCCAGGTGGTCCATGCCAGCCAGAGCAGCTGGGCACAGGTGTCAAGATCCCTGTGGTAGCATGTGAAGTCTGGTGAGTCTGGTGTGCCTGTCATGACTGTGAGGGCAGCCCCATGGCACCTGCCAGTCCTAGGGCCTTGGTCACCATCTTCCCAGACCATCGTCCAGCAGTCCAGGAGGCGAAGCCCTGGACTCTGGTGAGGCTCTGGAAGCACTGGGCACCTGCCTGGGCCTTCCAAGGTCCCCAGATGGAGCTGGTGTTCTGTCTGCTGCAGGGGGAATGAAGGGAGGATATGGGGGGAATTCAATCTGGGACAGAAAAGTCCTGGGCCCCCCAGGCTTACCTGCGAACTCTGGGACCTGTGAGTCCTCCACTTCAAACAGCAGCTCATCGTGAATCTGGGCAACCAACCTAGAGGTGGACAGGCATTACCTGGAGATGCACTCTTAGCCAGGTGCTGAGGGGAGGTGGGTGTGGGTGTGTGGAGGGTCCAGGCTGAGCCCTGCTGCACAGGGTTACCTGCTCTCACCAGGACTGCTCCTGGGACTGCTGGAGAGGCAAAGGGGGCAGCCATTATGAAGCCCCTGTTCTTCCCAGGGGGTGGGGCTGACCATGCCACACTCTGAAGAGCCTGGAAGGGGCAGAAGGCCCCCTTGGGGTGGCATGGGGCCCACTGTGAGGGGTGAATATACCTGGCACGTGGGGGGCACCCCCATCTCAGCGTAGAGAAAGAGGGGAGGCAATCTTTTAATAATTTGCTTTTGAGCCTGGTGTGGTGGCACACACCTGTTATCCCAGCACTCAGGAGGCTGAGGCAGGAGGATCACTTGTGCTACACAGTGAGTTCAAGGTCAGCCTGAATTACATAATGAGGTCCTGTCTCAAGCAAAAAAAAATTTTTTTTTTTGCTTTTGAAGTCAAAGGAATAAATAGACACTTAAAGTTTGGAAAATACATCACCATTCAAAAGTGTAAAATTTGAAAATTCTCCTAGTTCAGCCCCACTCTGAGGGTGTATGTGGGGTGCCCCAGCAGGACTGGACATGCGCCTTTTTCTGGTGAAAGGCACCTGCGAGGGGCTGTCAGGCCCTAAAGGGCAGCACCATGCCTCATCTCGTCCCCTACACCTGCTCCGGGCTCCCACACTACTCTACAGGGGAGGCTGCCAAGGCCACACAGGGCAGTGGCTGTGGACGTGTGATGAGCCGAGGCTGCATTGCCACGCTAGCCCCTGGGAGCAGAGCTCTGCAGTGGCCTCCTGGCTCCATGTTCCTCTCATTCCTCCCCTTGGACCCTGGTGTTGGGCAGGGTGGAGATGGAGCTGTGTCCCCAGCCACAGAGCATCGGAGGGTCCCTCAGCTGGAGTGGACCAGGAGATGTGCACCTCTAACCTCCAGGAAGGCCTAGAGGCTGCTCTGTGGGGGGCTCTTTTGACCATCACTACTTTCTTTTTTTTTTTTGGTACCGGGGATCGAACTCGGGTCCTTGTGCTTGCACAGCAGGTGGCAAAACCACTGAGCTAAATCCCCGGCCTGACCATCACTACTTTCTTTTCGCTTAGAAAATACTGTGATGGTTGGATCAGCTGCCTCCACCATGGCCCAGGAGAGAAAGGGCCGGAGACCCAGAGGGACTTCCGTCCTGCTGTCCTGGGCTTCAGAAACAGCAGCATGGCGCCCTGGGCTTCTCTTCTGGAGCCCAAGCTGCAGCTGCCATGGTGCTGGTGGCTGCACGCAGGGACGGTGGTGTGGACCCTCCAGGCACCACAAGGGAGGCAGGAGGGAGAGGTGTGCCGTGTGCCCCTGCACCAGCTGGCCAGGGTACCTGTGCTGCCTCCAAAGCCAGTCCACGCAGGACACGGGCTGGGTGCAGCATGGTGCACTTCCTGAAACTAACTGGGAGGCTCTGGCAGGGCCTCTGGCTCCTGAGGGCCCCTGTGCAGGGGCAGAGACCTCAGAAAGGTGCTTGTGAACCTCTCCAGATTTAGCAGAAGCAGTTTCACACGTCCTGAAATCACACTGTGAAATTCTGAGCTGCTGGTGTGGCAGACCTAAGAATAGGTGTGGCTGTTAGTCACTCACACATCATCCTCACAGCCACCGACGCCGCACTCATGACTGCTCCAGGATGGGAACAGGCTCTGGAGAGGTTAGGGTTAGGGAACAGCCTGACGCAGGCCGACAGAGCCTGGCTGCTGTGAGGGAACATTCCAGAAGGGGTTCACCCTGCCCTCCTTCTCAGGGTCCTCAGCTTTGTGGAGCTCCCCTGTGAGTCCCCCGAGAGCATGCCTGTGTGATGGCCCTGTCCCAAGCCCACTTCTAAGACTCTCTCTTGGGGGCAGGAGGACCTGGTCATGGGGGGGCTCAGCATGAGCTTGGCAAGTTGTGTCACGGGCCATGGTTCAGTTTCCCCTGGTCTACACTCAGTGGAAACCAGTAGCTGTTAGGCCCCCAAGTTAGAGCCGCCCTGTAACTCCATGCCTCGCTTGCAGCTCTGACCAGTTCCACAAGAAGTAAAGCCAGGCATGACTGTAGACAAAACCTACTGTGCAGCTGCCAGCCCAGTCACGATAGAAACCATCCGGGCCACTCACACAGGAGAGGCCAGAATGCACCCTGAGAAGCCGTGGAGGCAGGAGGTGTGCGGATCTCAGGAACTGCAGAAAACCTTGTGCAGTGTGTGCGTATGTGTGTGCCCACGCTGGGGGGGGGGTGCAGACAACTAGCAAGGCAGAGCTCTGCACACCTGCTCCCCCCGGCCCACCAGTGATAGTGGGGTCGGCTCTGGCTGGAGCCCCGTGTGGGGCTCAGTGGCGTCTAGGCACCCTCCTCCCGGGCCTGGGTGGCCGCCCCCACGCTTCTGCCCTACGAGGCTGGGAGAGGTCAGCAGGGTGGGGCGGGGGACAGCCTCCTGCCCTTGAGAGACAGGGGACCACCGACCACGCGCTCCTGCAGGAAGCTGCCCAAGTCACCAAGACAGGCTGAAAAGTCAGAATGAACAGGGGGAGGTGTTTGAAGAAAGACTTGTTTTTTAAAGAAAGATGAACCATTCCTGACAAAGAAAAGAAAATCAAACCCGAGCCCATAAAATAATATCAGAAGGCAAGAGAAAAATGTATGCTTGGAGAGAAGAGGACACTGAAGACCCAGAGGAGCCACCACCACCCTCGGCAGAGGCCCTCCAGCGGGAGGCCAGAGGAGCACAGCCCCGGGCTCCAACAGGGTCTCCCTCTGAGGGTCTGATGAGGGTCGGTGGGCAAGGAGTGGCGCTGGGACCTTGAGGACAGGAGGCGCCAGGTCTTCCGCACCTGGAGGGGAGGCTGGGGTGAGGCTCTGCCCCCTGCCACCCCAATACTTGGGGCTGAGCCCTTGGGAGCAGTGGGGGCAGAGAGGCCGAGAGAGCTGCGCAGGGCGGGGACGCCACCACCATGGAGCACCTGTGTGGCAGCAGGTGGGGTGGCACACCCAGCTTGGCAGGTGTCTCACACAGAGTAGCCCCCCACCCCAAGGCTGGACCCCCAACGGTTCCCACTGACCTGGCCGTCAGCGTGGTGGAAGTGGTGACTGCAGCGAAGATGCGGATCATGGCCATCTTACAGAGGTCTGCGGCAGAGCCTGGGGGGAGAGGGCTGTGTGGGGCGCGGCTCCTGGGGCTTGCTCAGCTGTCACTGCCCCTCTTGGCCCCTGCTGCAGACTGTCCCTGCTCTGGTGACGATGCGGAGGCACTGAACCTGAAGCAAACGGTGCCTCTCCCCTCCAGCACCACCTCCTACTCAGCACCCGGGGGGGCTTTGGATGTGTGGCAGGCCAGGTACTTGGGGCACCACAGGCCTTGACATGAGATGGAGCTTCCAGACTGGCTCTGTTCTGGCTGAGCTCCTGAAGACTCGGTTTCCTAGGTGCAGGGACAGGGGTTGCCTTTGCCCTCACTGTAGAGATGACCATGCACCGAGCCCTGGTCACACATGGGCATGTGACCCTAACTCTCCTTGAAGGAACCGCACGGCTGGCAGGCAGCGGTGGCGAGGCCCTAGGGGGTAAGGGTAGGCGGCAGCCTGGGGTGTGGTACCTTGGACCACGAAGTTCACTGCCTGTCGCTCTGCTTGTGCCCTCAGCTCCGGGTTCCGTGCGTGGATCCTCGGCAGGGGCCTTCTTCTGCCCAGAATGGATGCCACGTAGCCTGGGTCACAGGAGGGAGGAGTGGATGGGGTAGTGACAGACATGGCCAGCATGTGGTGGGCAGCACCTTCCATACAGCCTCCTCACTGCCCACCTGTCACCAGGAAGGGGGTGGCCATGGGGCCAGGTGGCCTGCTGCACTCGCCCCCACATGGGACACCCTATGGGAGTTGTTCAGGCCACGTGAGGACTGCATGGCCACTGGCGTGTGGAGGGAAGAGGTCAGAGGTGTGAGCCAGAGTCCCCCTCTATGCCGGCTGGGGGCTCAGACGGTTTGGGCTCTCCTGGTGAACCTGGACACAGCACACTGCACTGGCTGAGCCTGTTCCCAAGCAGCGAGGACTTCTGTAGACACCAGGTGTGCAGGAGAAATAAACCTTCCCCGTGTCTGAGGACTGGGAAAATTCCCCATACACAACAATCATATACATTTGCATACGGGGATGGAACCAGGGTCTGATGCCTGCCAGCCCAGGGCTCTATCCCTCAGCTACCTCAGCCCTGTGAGATAATCCAAGTGACAGGTACTGAGCACCTACACGAAGCTGTCTCTGTGTGAAGCCTCACGATGCCAGCCAGCAAAGGCCCAGAGCCATGCTCCCACCATGGTGAGTCCCACCAGCTTCCAGTGTCTGCTGGGCAGTCGGTCTGTCTGTCTTTCCTTTCCTCCCTCCCTCTCTGCTTCCTTCCTTTTTTCTTTCCCTCCTTCCCTCCCTCCCTTCCTTTCTGGTACAGGAGATTGAACCCAGGCCTTTGCACTGAGCTACATCCCCAGCACTTTTTACATATATTTTAAAATTTCAGGCAGAATGTTTGAAAGTTTAAATTCTCCAGGCTGGGCTCAAACTCTCGACCCTCCTGCTCAGCGAGGGCTGGAATTGCATGCCCCCCGAGCTGGGCTCACCTGACCTCTTCTGCCCTCTGACCTATGCTCTTTGACCCTTCCTGACCTCTTGGTCTCGGCACAGGCCGCCTCCTCTGCTCGGTGTGTGACTGCCAGGCCAGAGCACGCACACTTCTTGCTTGGATATATAACGGCCCACACCCCTTGATGAAAGCTGGCTGTGAGGTGGGGAGACCTTCCCTGTGGCAGGGACGCCCTGGACTGCCCTAATGCCACTCCACCGGTTAGCCATGGTTTGGGCAGCTACTTAACGTCAGAGGGACTCCTTTTATTCTGCTGAAAAATAGAGGTAACAATATTACCCACTTCTTAGGCGTGGTGAAAATTACGTGAGTCACTTTGAGGAAAGCATTTAGAATCGCGCCTAGCTAGTTGGTGCTACGTAAGTGTCTGCACTGTGGGTGCTTTCTGTCTTCAGCACGCAAGCAGAGCCTGGCTCTGTGTCCTCTTGTGGATTCTGGGTGCTATCACTATGTCAACATTTCAAAACTGACGGTACGCTTACTCTTGCTAAGTATGGGGCTCTTGGGCAGGAAATGGCCAGGACTTGTGGGCAGGCTTCTGGTGGGGCAGCTGCCCTCCCCAGGTCTGGCTGTGGCTTGCTGGCCACTAGGGGTGGAAACAGTCGTGGGTGGCCTCATGCTTCACACAGCCAGTGAGCAGATGGGATGGGGGCTGGGGAGGGCCGAGCTCGAGTGTGCTGGGGTCACGGGGCCACACTAGGGGCTGATGGTGTGTCCACTGGCAGGCCAGGGGGCCAGTGGTGAGCGGCCCAGGTCCTCACAGTCCCCGGAGGATTCGGGATACCGTAGGCTGCCATACAGGTGTCGCCTGTACCCTGCAGGGACCATGCCAGCCCTCCAGCTGGTCTTCATTTGTTGCTGCCTAGCAAGTGGTGACTTGTGAATGCTCTCTCCGCACCAACTATTAAACCTCTTCTTTGTCGTTTACTTCATTAATTTCTGCCACTTCACTGATTTCCTTCCTTCTTTCATTTACTCTGCTGTTCACAAATTACTTGTGTCAAATTCAACTCATTTATAGTCACAAATTTCTTTTGTTTAAAAATATCCTTTTATAGTTGTTCTTTCTTTCAAGTAAAGCATCAGTGTGGGCAATTTTGGTTAGGAGTGCTTTGCACGCTTTTTTTTTTTTGGTACTGGGGATCAAACTTGGGTCCTTGCACTTGCAAGTCAGGTGACAAAACCACTGAGCTAAATCCCGGGCAGTGTGGGCAATTTTTTGATGAGATGTTTTATTGTCATTCTTTGTACCAAAATAAACAAATTAACTTTATTAAGTTACTACTTCATTCCTTACATTGATTTGCTTAAAAAACATCAGTTTGGAATGTATTATTGAAAGTGAATGCACACAATAAAAAGAAAATAGAGGGCCCGAGATTTAGCTCAGTGGTTTCGCCGCCTGCTGCGCAAGTGCAAGGACCCGAGTTCAATCCTTGGTGCCAAAAAAGAAAAATAAAAAGAAAATAGGGAAGCAAAGTGCAGAGAGATGAATTAAGCAGCTTAGTTTTATCTCTTGCCTATAGGGCAGACACAATTGGAGACACAGTCAGCGTCACTGAAAGAGCAGGAAAGCACCTGGGAGAAGCTTGCAAACCACTGGAAAAAGAGTTTAAAGCTCTGACCACTCACAAAAAACAAAACAATAACAACAGAAAAAGCACAAGTCACTGTTTATCAGTAGTTAACCTCACTACTACCCAGAAGGACAATTTAAAAATCCTGCACCAGGGCCGGGGATTTAGCTCAGTGGTACCATGTCTGCCTTGAAGGCGCAAGGTCCTGAGTTCGATTCCCAGTACCAAAAAATAAAATAAAAATAAAAATAAAAATACTGCACCACAAGTGCCAAGGAAGCTTCATTAATGGGTCTTTCTGTTTTGTTTTAGCACTGGAGAATGAACCAGGGCCTCAAGGATGCTAGACAGGTGCTCTGCCCTGCCTTTTTAAAAATTTTATCTTGAGAGGGTCTCCCAAGTTGCCCAGGTCCAAGTTTGACTCCTGCCTTACCCTCCACAGCTGTGCCTCCGTGTCTGGCTAAATCAGAGCTTCTGTTTTTGAATACATAATCATGGCAGGCTCCATAGCAATGAGCTGCAAGACTCTGAACTTAATAACTTAAACCCGATATGGTTAATATAATATATACTGCGCATCTCAACTTCTTTCAGGTAAAGTGATAAGTAAGAAGGTTTAAATTATAGTTTTAATTTCTGCTCACAAGAATGATGTTGATATTCTAACAATAGTGATGACACTCCATTATTGTACATGCAGTTGGAATTATACTTGATTGAAGAAATAATTCTTAGGTACAAGTGGGTCCATATACTATGTGCAAATTTTTAACAGAGCCGGTTTATAATCAAAGCTGAATTTAACAAGCACTTTCTGACTTCTAAAAACAAATCATGGAAGTGCTTCCTAAAAGTGAACTAAAGTCAAAGGCAGGTGACACCAGCTCTTTTTCCCTTTTATGTGATGAACCTCGTGAAGCATCAGTTCCCAAGGTATATTTGTTTCTGGACCAGACAGCTTGGATGCTTTTTTTAAAGACAGCGTTACTGTCATTATTTCTAAAATTTTTGGTCCTTTTCTTGGATGTCTTTTGTTTTGGTACCGGGGATTGAACTTGGGTCCTTGCACTTGCGAGACAGGTGGTGGAACCACTGAGCTAAATCCCTGGCTCGACTTGGGGTGTCTTTTTATCTTAAATTACTTACGACTGTGATACATTTCCAATTAAGTGTGTGGGTGGATGGCTACACACACACATAGGTGTGTAGAAAACTATCTTTTTAGTGCACCCTGGTCACAGATGTGTTCTACTTGATATTCTCTGAAATCTCTTCAGGTTTCTTTTATGACCAAACTGTGGAGGTATTTTGTAAATGTACCACATGCCTTCTGCAGGAATACATCTTCTCCATTTTGGGGTCCAGGGCTCTGTCTGTTTCGATTTAGCCGTGTAGCTGTCACCTGTTAGCTCCAGCTTGTCTGTTTTGTTGCTTTACTCGGAACCTGCCTCTGGCCCTTCTTATGCGGAGCCTTCAGTCCTATCTCCTCAGCAGGAGCTGAGGCTGGCCCAGCCACCTCCACCCGGCCTTACACTGCCCACCTCACACGGCCCACACACCCTCGTCCAACTGCAGAGCCAAGAGCCAAGGACACTGCAGGAAGAGAGAGAGCAGGGGCTGCCATGGGCCTGGCTGGGGCTGGCTCACCTGTACGGTGACACTGAGCAATAGTTGCTTGGGCAAAGTCCTTGATTTTTTTGTATTTCTGCAGAAAACTCTCCAAAAACTGGGTGGCTTCCTGAACCGTAACTCCAAGGCAAGCTGCTAGACGCTCCTTCCCTATAGGAGTCAGAAAGATGCATGATCAGAGTCCAGTCCTGCACACAATAGGTCAAGGGAGTGCTCAGAGCACCAGCCCCAGGGAGTGTGCAGGTGGCTGGAACCAGCTGCCATAGGCCTCTAGGATGATGAGGTGAGTCAAGGCCTAGCTGGCACCCATGGTCTTTTGTTGCAAGTTAGGAGGGTACAGCCTTTGGGCTTTACACACTGGGTGCTGGGTGCCAACCATCTGGACAGGGCCTGTTAAACACTTAAGTTTTCAACTATGTTCACTGCCAGGTGCTGCAGGTGAAGCCACAGATGAAGAGACAGTGCCTGGTTGGGGCTTGGCCATAGGAGACCTGACTACAGAACTGGGGGAGATGGGAGAGGGAATAGAAGAGGCAAATTTCCATGCCAAGTGACAGTAGCATGGCACAAAGAGTTCTAATCCTTTGGCTTTTTTTTTTTTTTTTGGTACTGGGGATTGAACTCAGGACCTTGTACTTTTGAGGCAGGCAGCAGAACCACTGAGCTAAATCCCCGGCCTGACACCAAGAGTTCTAGTGCTTAGAATTTCTACTTTGTAAAACATGCTGTTGGTCCAGATTGATATTTTGCTCGTAGAAGATGCAGTGTCCTTGTGAAGGGCTCATAGAAGGGCCTCTGGCCCAGCACATGAGCCTCCTGCTTGCTGGGTACAGGGCTGGGACCATGCAGGCTTGGGTCTAGTTCCAGGTCCTTTGCCCATGGGAGGTTCTAAGTGGCCCTGAGAAAGTTGCTTGATCCACAGGAAACCCATTTCCTCTCTTGTGAGCTGGGAACAATAGTCCTCACCCCAGGGTCGCTGAGGGAACACCTTGAGCCAAAGCATGTGAGGTTCCAATCAGTGCCTGGCTCCAGCTTGGTGCTTAATGTGGTCATTCCCTTCCACCTTCACCCCAAAAGAGCCAGGGGGAGCCTATGTGGTCAGGCGATCAGTTGCCTGATAGGTGGAATAAGGGGAAAGCCCTGGGTGTCAGGGGATCCAATGTTGGAGGGAACTGCAGAGCTGCACTTCTGGGAGACCATCACCAGATCAGGAGAGGCCTTTCTGTCTGCTACCAACCCTGGGTCAACTCTGGACCACACTAGAGGATACCCCAGGGATCTTCAGAGAGGATGGCCTGGAGACCATGGCCCACAGGTAGCAATCTGGGGGTCTGTGAAGACAAGGAGACATTTTTTTTTATAGTTTATAGTTGATATCTATGGGAGACTTGGTCTAATGGGAGCTCCTTGGCCATTACAAGAAGTTACACCTCTCCTAAATATTTATGACCAAAAGTGAGTTCTTTTCCTTTTTTTGGTATCTTCCAGAAGGCTAATTGTACTGGCCAGCTTCCCTTTTGCTGGGACCAAATGCTCTACATCCATAGCTTCAAGTGGTGGAAGTTTATTTGGCTCATGGTTTCAGAAGGTTCAGTCCATATTTGGCTGGCTCCAAATCAGGAACATCATAGTGAAAGGGTATGGTAGAGGAATGTTGCTTACCTCATGGCAGCTGGGAAGCTGAGTGGGTTGGGAAGAGCACCAGAGAGGAAAGGACTAGGGATCAGATATAGTACCCAAGGTCAGACCTCTATGACCCTTCCAGACACACCCAGAAACATGCTTCACTAATCTGCTAGGTGTCTCCTAATCCAGTCAACTTGATAATCATAATTAATGTTCATGCTTATATCCTTTGTGCATGTGTATACACGTGTATGCACATGTGTGTTTGCACATATGTGCATGTGTTTGTGCACATATGTCTTAGAGTTAACTTTGGATAGATATCTTCAGTCCCTTTTCTCCAAGTGCCACCCTACACATACGGCTCAGTTTGCACTCTGGGTTCTGTTTCTAGGGCTGAGCACGTGCCTGGCCCACAGTAAGCCTCAGGAATGTTGTCTAGTAGATGACAACAGACCTGCACAGCCCAGGTGTCACTGCTCTGGGCAGCCTCCTGGGCTCACGGGCTCTGTGTGTGTGTGTGTGTGTGTGATGTGATCCTCAGGCTCCTTGTTCACCAGATGCAAGACTGGGCTCAGTCTTGTGTTTTTTCATTCAGAGGTGAGCCCCTTGTGAGCAAGCCCAAAGTCCCTGTCCACAGGCCTCCTGGTGCAGAGGACACACTCAGCAAGCACTGCTGATGGCATGACTGGACACAGAGCATGCTGAGGAAGTGTTGGCAAGACTCAGTGTTAGATCGACTCTAAGAAAGAAGGGGCTCAGCTGGCCCAGGGTGGAGTAGGATCTGTGAGCTGGGGAAGTGCCTGGTATGCGGGCAGATGCTGAATTCAGCCACCTGCAGGAAGGGACATGGACTTCAAGCCAGTCTAGGGTCAAGGCCCAGGCAACACATGGGGTACATGAATAAGAGGTGTTGCGGGGCCAGGCCAGCTCCACGGCTTGCAGGGGCCACATCCCTTTGAAGCACCTTCTTTGCTTGTCTCACCACTGGTCCTCACAACAGTTGAGGAACTATTTGCCCAAGACACCAGTGGGCCAGCATCCCTGTTAGTAGTACCCAGGCCACTCAGCTGTGTTTCCCTGAAAAGGCACGGTGTATACCATTGAAAGCTGCCTGGCCACTGTCTCAACATTGACTTTCTTGAGGGTCCCCAGCAGCCCAGGAACCTGGCAAGTTCACTTGCATCCTCCACCCAGCTCATCCACAGGTTCTGGTCTCAAACAAGGGAGAATAAGGCACAGCCCCAGCCAGGCACAGACACGTGCTAATTCCAGCTGTCAGGAGGGCAGAACAATTCGAGTAGCAGAGACAGAGGCTGAGGGTAGGCGCTTCTGTCACCATCAAGGCTAAAAGCAGCCAAATTACCCTCTTCACTGGCATCACAGCTAATGACTCACTGCTTATTTACACAGCAGCTCTTTTCCTCTCCAGAAAACAAAGTGAATGCTGCAGAAGGAGCCCATCAGACAGCTGGGAGGCCACCTTTCTCTGAGGAGCAGGGCTGTGGAGTGGAGAGGCAATCGTTCTCCTGGGCACAGCCTGCTCACAGCGGGCATTCGCATGCTCACACTGTGTTGCCCTTTTCTTCCAAGTGGGTTTGAGGGGCCAGCCCAGGTTGGGGTTGGGGAGAGACCCATGGAAGCTTCTGGGCCTCTTGGGGCATTTATGGACATAGAACAGCTTTGATGAGAGGCAGGTGAGAGACGTGAGTTAACTGGCAGGTGGGGCCCCAGCAACCCTATGAGAGCATTTATCGAGGAGGAGATGGGCAGGCAAGTGGAGGCCTTCATATGAGCCCATCCCTCAGGAGGTGACAGTTGGGATTCAGGCAGGGCCTGCAGAGCCAGTGCTCCTGGCATGTCTGGAACAGGATGCAAGTGTCAAGACCTAATCTACCTGGGCAGACTGCTTTCTTCGCCCAGCACAGAGACCCAGGAAGGTTCGGGCAGAGGGAGGAAATGGGCCGGGTGACTGAGGACAGCCACCAGTGTCCCCACTGTCCCGGCTGAGCTCAGCTCCTGACCTGTTCTCCAGACCCTGTGCCCATAATCAGAATGTTCTCAGAGTTGGTGACTGTGAGCCTTCTATGGGAGGTGTGAGCAGAGCAGACAGATCCTGCCACCCACACTGAGCAGTGAGCTGCCAGGCTGGGGACCACAGACCAGAGGGAAGCAGACACTGCGGAAAATGGGTACATCCCTAGGAAAAGCTCATGCGGGGTCCCAGCTCCAGTTAGCATCCTGACAGCAGCCAGCAGGGGACCTGGCCACAACACGCCTGCTCCCACAGAAACTGTGAGATAGTGAATATGTGTTGTTTTAAGTCTTGAAGTTTGTGGCAACTTGAATGGGTAACGAACACTGGTGGAAGACAGCTGAGAGGGGAGCTTTGGATGCAGATCTGACACAAGTGGGGAGCTCTGTGCACATGCAGGAAGGTATTCTGAGAAGAAAGGGGAGAACAAAGCCCTGAGGCTCCGGGAAAGGCCCTCAGGATGCACCCCAGGGCACTGTGGTCATGGGGACTGTGTGGTGGTGTCCTCCAGGCCATTGTGTGTCTGCCTTGAGGCTCACAAAGGAGTCTGTGCAGTTTTGCTGGAATGTCCAAAGGTCTCTATGGCAGGGAGGTGAAACTTCTTCTCAGGGCCCATGTACAAGCTCCACAGCTCCAAGATGCACCACCAAAGGGCCAAGGAGGTCACTCGGGCCTGTGACAGCAGACAGACCACTCCTCCAAGAGGGGCAATAGGGCCCTACCTGGGCATGGGCAGGTTGGTCAGGGAGGGAAGGGAAGGAAGGGAAAGTAGAAGAGGCAGAGGGCTACTTTGCCTGGGTCCTGGGGAGGGGAAGAGAGGAGGGACGTGGGGGTGGGAGGCCTGCAGAGGAGGAGACAGTGGCCCAGGCTGCCGGCCTCCAGCTCCACAACCCAGCCCCTCTCCACCCCTGAGGCTGGACCCCCTCCTGGAAGGCTGGGCCACAGAGGGAGGAAATGGTGCCTTCTGTAGGGGTTGGCCTGGCTGTGTGGCCCATCTGGAGAGCTCTGCCCCAGGCAGGAGCACATGAGCTAGGAAGCAGTCAAGACAGAGTCCATCTTGAGGGCTTTAACTCTGCCAGGCCTGGCGTGTGCATTGATGAAGGCCTCTGAGTTGCAGTCATGTCTGGAATGGTGGTGTGATGTGGGATGGGGCCTGATTATCCCGAGAGGGTTGCTCATGACATGGAGAGTTGGAGGTGAAAAGTGGCCTGACTAGTGTCTGGTGACGCAAATTTCCCCAGAGTGCTTGTGTAGTAACACTGAGGACTCGCAGTGCTGTCTCTGCAGCATTGCCACACTTAAACACAAGCCCGTGGCCAACTGGCTGATAGGTGACTCCCAGACCTCAGCCCCTGCCAGGCCCACCTGCTCCGTAGACCACTGAGTACACCACCTTCTTGGTCTGCTCTCTGTCTGCAGGCGTCACGTGCTCTATGGAGATGTTCTTCCTGCACGGAAAGGTAGCGTCATTAGACACAGCTGGCCCAGTCTGCAGCAGAGGGGACAGTGGGTCTGAGCCTTTGGTCCTGCCATGCCTCCTAGGGGCTCCTCACTGTTTGGAGCTAGATGGAGAGATAAGGGATAATGTGTTGTCACTTGGGTGGAGAGACAAATGATAACTGCAGCACCCTGTGGCTCCAGGCCTGTCAGACACTGGGGGTGAGGCCAGCCCCATGTTCTGTGTGTCACAAATCAAAGCTGAAAACTGCCTGCACTGACGAACATCCTCCCAGTGCCAGCAGGCCTGTACCTATGCTGGGACAACCAGGTGCCAGGGGGGTGAGCTGGCTTCTGGTCTTTCCTAGACAAGCAGCCTCTGCCTCCAGCCCTAACCTTACCACACGCAGTGGGGTGAGCTGCCTGGGGCTACAGCATTCAGACAGAATAAGAATCAACTACATCTGAACTACAACCAGGGTCCAAAGAATGCAGCTGAGGCTGGGGATTTAGCTCAGTGATGCTGCCGCCTGCATCACAAGTGCAAGGTCCCGAGTTCGATCCCCGGTACCAAAAAAAAAAAAAAAAGAAAAAAAAAAGAATGCAGCTGAGACAGCTGAAAAGCAGAGGGCACTGCAAATGCCTCCAAGTCATTCCTGGCTGCCTGGCATCCCCCCACCCTGAACAGTTCTATGTCTGGGCCCTGCTTCCTGCCAGCCACATTTGCAAGCATCCTTAGCATCTATGTCAGGCCTTCCCACTGGGCTGGGCACACAGTGTCAGGAGCTGACAGAGAAACAAGAAAGCTCTCCCAGTCTCTGCTATTGGCTCTGTGTGCATAGGGAGGTGGGGTACTCAATTTCTTAGCCATCCTGTTCCCAACTCTACCTTAGCTTTCACTTCCTTCATGCACTGAGCCTTGAGACAGTGCCAGGTGAAAACTCAAAGTCTTCTTAGGTCTTTTGTGAGCATGGAAGCGGCCCTGGGCACGCACAAGGCTCTCTAGATTTCCTTGTAGACACAGGTAGGTAGGTGCTTTTGAATCTCTGAGGCTTTTCCTCCTCAGCTTTCATTGCTGTTGTTTGCTTTAGCCATAATCTTTTTGCCTGAGGTGAATACAGACTGTTGGTCTTTTTGACATTTCTGACCAGGTCTGTGTTGTCCTTCAGGCAACCCCAGACGAGGGAGAATGGACACACGTGCTGCTTTGTGAAGGAGGCTGCTCTGCTCCCTCTGGAACCAGTGACAGAGCTGCCACAGTGGGGCTGAGTGGGGCGAGCAAACACACAAAGCTCCACTACCACTCCCAAGGTGCCTTTTCTTGACTCAGCATTTGCTTGTCATGGCAAACCTTGTCCATTCTCCAGAGCTCTAGGAAAGTTGGCTCTGGGAACTTGGGTTGACCTGGGGGTTTCTGCAGGGGTTGGGCCTGTGGCCTGCAGAGCTGCATCCTCCTCCATTTTCACGGATACATTGAACATCATCAGTTTTCACCATCTGATTTCCAAGTGCCAAAGCATTTCTCATTTTCCTCTTTCCTGCTGTGTTACGTGATTTTGCCCAGTTGTTTATCTCATCTTAAAATTGGTTTTGTTAAGAGCTGTATGTAGAGAGGAACCAAAGAGTCAAAATGCATCCAGGCTGAGAACAAACACAGGCCAGCTCCTCTGTCACACTCCCTACCCCAGTCCGCACCTTCATTTTGGAAATCCCATAGTGCCCTATACCTGTGGATACCTGTGCTCAGAAATCCCTGACCCAAAACCAACCACCAACCAGAAAAGTCTCCACTGTGACCCTTCAAGGCCACCTGCAGTGACAGAAGATGGTCTCTCTAGCGACGATGAGAGGAGGGAGGGGGCATCTGGAGGAGGATGTGTCCCCTCCACCATAGGTGACCCCATCCTAGCCTGAATCCAATGTCCTGGGCTGGACCACTGTCTGAGGAAGCAACACTAAAACCTCCCAGAACCTGCTTCACAGAGAACCAGACTGTGATTGATCCAAATAACACTGAACGGTACACTCCAATGGCAGAGAATGAACATTCTTCTCAGTGCATAGGACACTAGTCGTGACAAGTGACCTTATATTAAGATAACACAGAAAACATCAAAACTTTGTTTAAAATAGAACTATTAAAATAACATTTTTTGATCACAGTGCAATAAAATTAGAAATTAAAAAACAAAAAGAGCCCTTCCATCAGGAAGTAAACCACAAGAATTACAGCAAAAACTAAAACATTTCTATCAACCATCTTTTGTGTAAGGGGAAATACAAACTGAGATCACATAGTTTCCAATGAAAACATTATATATCAGAACCAATGGATTACACATAAAGCAGTGAGGAAGTTTCATAGCCCCAAATTCCTCTATTAATAAATGAGAATAAGTACATTTTCAATTTTAAAATGAAAGAAAAGATTAAAGAAGTAAATTGAAAGAATGTAAAAGGAAGGAAATGATAAAGCTAGAATAAAGATAGGAGTAGAAATTAATGAGATACAAAACAGAAAAACAGTAGATCAAATTAATAAAAATCCTGTTTCTTATACAAAACAAAAGACAAACCATTAGCTAATTTCATTAAAAAATGAGAGAGCACAAATATGCGAACGAAGAAACAACAAAGGAAAGTAACTAGTGTTGTGGAAGAAGTAAAAAAATAAATCTAAACAATCATTTTGTACCACTCTATGGAGTAAATTTCAAATCCTAGATTAGATGCAGAAAGTCTTAGGAAAGTACAGTTATAAAAATTGACCTCAGCCAGCTGAAAGTTAAGCATATTAATACCTATAGAAAAATAGAGAAAATGTTTAAGGAACCACCCCACAAAACACCAGATCAGATGGCTTTGGAGGGGATTCTATCAAACTCTTAGAGTCTAGACAGAGCCTATGCTGCAGCAATTATTTCAGAGCCTAAGCAATGAAGAGAAACTTCCAAATTTCTTTTATTAATCAAGTATAACAACTATACCTAAACATGGCTCAGAGAGGATAAAGGAAATATAATAAAGACTGTGAAGGTATGAAAGGTTGAAAGGTTCTAAGAGCACAGCATCCTTTGGGAAGTGGAAAAGTACTAATGTATATTGGACTGCAATGAGTAAATGACTCATGATATGCTCTGTAGAGCAATCACTAATAGAACATGAAAAGTACAGGGTAGTTGGTGCACCACTGTAATCACAGCACTTACAGAGGCTGAGGCAGGAGGGTTGCAAGTTTGAGTCTTGTCTTAGAAAGACCCTGTCTCAAAAACAAATGTTAAAAATGGGCTGGAGGGCCGGGGATTTAGCTCAGTGGTTTCAGCGCCTGCCACGCAAGCGCAAGGTCCCAAGTTCGATCCTTGGTACCAAAAAAAAAAAGGGCTGGAGATGTAGCTCAATGGTAATGAATGGTAGTGTCCCCCAGGTTTGAGGCCTCAGTACTGCAAAACCAAAAGTCGAGAGAGAGAGACAGAGAGAGAGAGAGAGAGAGAGACAGAGAGAGAGAGAGAGAGGAAGAAGACACTAGTTCACTAATGCAAAGGAAGGAAAGCAAGAAAGAGGAGAGAAAATGGCAGATAAGACAGAGAATACATAAAAACAGGATATACATAGTGAGACCCTGTCTCAAAAATTTTTTTTTTCAAAAGCAGGACAATGACAGATAAAAAAATACACAAGTAATTACATTAAATGTAGAAGGCTAAATCTCCAATTAAAAGAATATGATAGCTGTATCAGATGGCCCATGCCTGTAAACCCAGCTATTCAGAAGGCTGAGGCAGGAGGATTGCAAGTTTGAGGTCAGTCTAGGCAACTTATCAAGACTGTTATGGCTTGTATCTAGACGTCCTCCCAAAGCCCCATACAGCCATAGGTAAGGCCTTTTGGAGGTGGGTGGATCTAGGATGTGTGCTGCTGGGATTAAGGATGTGATGCTGGGATTGATTCATGGCGCAGCTGCTAGGATTAAGGATGCCCCATTCTGGGTGTAAGTACTACCTGCACTCAAGGGACAGAAACAGGTCGTTGCTTGTCACTTGTGACTTGTTGCTTTCTGCCTTTTGCTATGAATTGTTTCTCCTCTGCAGTGTCCCTATGCCATGCCACCCTGCCTTGGAGCCAGCTGACTATGACCTGAAACCTCTATAAACTATGAGCCAAATCAGCCTTTCCTCCTTTAACTTTGGGTGTTGGGTATTTTGTCTCAGCAATGAGAAGAGTACCTCAGACAGGGTCCCTGTCTCAAAATAAAATAAAAAGGCTCGCATGCACAAGGCCCTGAGTTCAATCCCTGGTACCAAAAAAAAATTACATAAAAAGGGCTGGAGATATAGCTTAGTGGTAAAGTGCTTGCCTAGAATGTGTGAAGGTCTGGGTTTAGTAAAGGCAAAGGGAGTAAGGAGAGGAAGAAGAAAATGATAAAGAAGAAGGAAGAGAAGAAGGAGTAGGGGAGAAGGAGGCTATGATAGCCAGACTGGGCAAAACCCAGATTCCACCATGTACTGTTTACAAACGACACACCTTAAATACAAGGGTACAGAGAAGTTAGAAGTGTAAAAGGATGGAGAAAATATACCATGCAAACATTAACAGAAAAAAGTTTGCTTAGCTTATATCATAAGAAATAGTTGTAAGTTAATTTGCCTAACAACAGAAAAATATCAAGAGAATCAAAAGGGGAAATATACCAATCCTCAATCATAAAGGAAAAAAAAATTGTGTGTGGGTTGGGACATTTAACACATTTGACAAACCTGACAGAATTGACATATACAGAATTTTGTATCTAATCATTAGGTCAAATGTGCAAAATTGTCCTCATGCTAATCCATTAAGCATTTTGAAACACTTTTCAAAAGGTCAAAATTCTACAAAGAATTTTCTGTGCCAAAAGTGGGATTAAGCTAGAAATGATTGCCTTTAACAAATACAACAAAAACTAAAACATCCCCATGTATCTGGAAATTAAACATTGTGCTTCTAGGTAAGCCTTGGATCAAGGAAGAAATCC